AAAGCCGCTATGAAGCCAGGAAACGCGTCCAGGAAAAAGGAAATCCGCCTTCCGACAAGAGCCGTCGGCCAAGCTTTAAAGGCGGCAGGCGCGGGGAGGCTGGAGCGCGTCCGCTTCGGGACCCGCAGGAAAGGCAATCGTGGGCGAGCGAAATCGCCGGGGAGGAGGGGCGGGGAAACCTCCGGGACGGGAGCGTCGCACCTGAGGCTGGAGGAAAGGGACCGATCCACCGGCAGCTGCAAGGCAGCGATCACGGCACCCCCCCCTACCGCGCTTGGCCGGGGCGGAGGGTGGCAAGAAGCGAGACCGGGTGGCCCCGGGGTCGGTCCCCGCCCTACCTGGCAGGTACATGTTGAGCAGCAAGGTCCGGGCCGCGCCGCGTCTCATGGCAGCTCTGCGCCCACCCCGCGCCCGCGGGGGGTATTATCGCCTTGGGCTGGGGAAGATGATGGTTGTTATTATTATGTATTGCGCTCCCCACCCGCGGAGGCAGGGCGCAAGATTGGTGCGCGCGGGGGGCGCAGTTGGACGGGGGGGGACACCAGTCTCCAGGCAACGTGCGCGGGGCGCAGGGCCCGGGCGCCTGCAATTTCCTCTGCGCTTTAATTAAAGGCGCGGCGCTGGCGCTTATCAGCCCATCGGACTTTAATAAAGTTTCCCCCGTTAAAGATCGGCGTTTCTATGGAGAGCGGCCGCCGCATTTTCCGCCTCTTTAACTCTTTGCAAACAGGCAGCGCCTGCCCGGGCCCTTGCTCGGCAGCCGCGCTTCTGCTCCAGCGCCTCTGAGCCAACAAGGAAACGAGCCCCCGGCCGACGCTGGCCCCTAATCGGCCTTTAACCTGAAAGCGATTCGCCTCCGCCCCCCCCCCATAGACACACGCACCGCACGCAACCCAGCAGGGCTAAGGCGGAGAGGAGCGCACGACGAGACCCCGCGCCCTGTTCTGGACGCAGACAGAAGGGGCGGCAGGCAGGAAACCCCGGACCTCCCCCCCCGGAATCGTGTGTCGGGCCTCAGGTTCGGAAGATCCCCCTCCTAGTCGCCTCTGAGCCTTCCCCAAATGGGCCCTGAAGGCCACCCTTTCCCCGGACGGCATTTAGATCTACTGTAGTCTCCTTGCGAACTGTCGTGAATCGACCTGGTTTCCTTGGACGTCCAGGCATCCAAGATTTCAAGCAGGAACCCGAGGTGCTCCAAACGAGACTGGACTCCAGTTCCCATCAGCCCCGGTCAGCTTAGCCAATAGAGAGGGGTGATGGGAGGATATCATTATATTTGTAAGGCAATGGCTTCCCCAACCCTGATTTCCATATCCACCCGCTCCATTTCTTTACTCTCCCTTCAAGTTTCTGATAAAGGCCAGTTATTGTACTGTATCTCATTTAGTCCTGGAGGGAAAAATGGTTGGGTGAATAATAATAGCTAATGTATCAAAACCGTGTGTGGTATTAGAGGAGAGGCCCTATTCCAGCAAATATGTTCACTCAAAGCCCTATGTGGAGCAACCAGTATTTTAGTCTAACTTGTATTAGGACAGAAGCTTTCCTGGGCTAGAACTGGTGCATTCAACTGATATACAAAATGTCAGTTGACATCAAGCAGTTGTACACATGGGTACGTGTGCACGCGCACGTATGCACATGCAATCAGTGTAGCCTAAAGACCACAATATGCAAAAAAGGACAGCCTGTGTCATGGTCTGTCATGGGGAGGCCTATGGGACTTCCTGCATTTCATGGCCCTTTGGCCTCGTTATCTACATTTCTGTTTCTCAACATCTCTGTGTTATATTGATAATCTGTCTATATGATCTGCTAGCATAGCATAACTCTTGAGATATCTGGTGGAGTGGGCTATAGTCTGTATAAAGATGAGTGTGCATTTGTTTCAGTAATGCTTACAGCACCTCTGCGAGATGGTTCAGTATGATCAACCCCACATTGCAACTGGGAAGAAGTGCTAAAGCACATTTGTTTGTCCGATCTGGTAAAAGGGCAGTCCCTTTATCATATTTAGCTAGGGAATGAGACCTGCTGAGCATAAGCAGTGGGCGGGCGGGCAGGTTCGGCATCCAAGTAAACATGTGTAAGACTTCCGTTTGATGTTCCATTCCTAAGTGAACTTAGAAAGGAGTAAGACATATGAAGTGCTGTTGCTATTTGTCAGTTTATAACGTTCCTTTCCTTTGAACAGCTGGCTGGATAGCCCAGTAGTTTAAATATCTGACTGTGGAGCCAGAGGCTGGAAGTTTGATTCCCCTCTGTGCTTCTAGGGAGAAGAGCCAGCCTGTGTGGCCTTGGGCAGGCTGCACAGTCCCAGGCCATGCACACACACCCAGAAGAAGGGAATGGTAAAGTACTCCTGTGTGTTCTCTACATGGGAAACCCTGGAAAGGGTGTTCCATGTAGAGAACGTGATGGCACACAATTGTTCCTTTGACTTGGTTGAATTGACAGAATTGACTTGATGGCACACAATTATTCCTTTGGACAGTTTAAGGTGGGGCAATGGTTCTTCTTCCTCGTTATTTTCATGGCAAACTTGTGAGGTCTCACTGTCTGAGAGACAATAATTGATCCAAGGTAACCTGATGAGCTTTCTGGCTGATTTGAACTGGGAGTTGGGTTGGGTTGCCACAGTTCTTGATAGCACACACCACCTACTCCACTAGTTCCTCACTCTTCCTTCATCATTTCCTGCTCTCTTCCTACAAGCTACAAACGGATCATTTATGACTATTTTCTGACCAATCACTCTGTTTTCCAAAGACCAAGGATTCAGGAAAACCTTTCTGTGATTTGAGCTTTAAACCAAGGGTAGGAAAGTTATGACCTTCTAGACAGGTTTTGGACTTCCAGAAATCCCAGCTAGCATGGAGAAAGTTAATGTCCTATTTTCCTCTTCTTTTTTAGATTTCTCCTCCTGATCTAGACTAATAAGTGGTGCTGTTCTATTTTGTAAATAATTTATGTTGGTTGACAACCACCCAGAGAGTGTGTATTGCATTACTGGGTGAAATAGGGACATGGTGGCGCTGCGGGTTAAACCGCAGAAGCCTCTGTGCTGTAAGGTCTATAGATCTGCAGCAGTAAGATCGAATCCACGTGATGGAGTGAGCGCCCATCACTTGTCCCAGCTCCCGCCAACCTAGCGGTTCGAAAGCATGCAAATGTCACCTTCCTCGGTGGGAAGGTGACAGCATTCTGTGTCTAGTCGCGCTGGCCACGTGACAACGGAAACTGTCTTCGGACAAACGCTGGCTCTACGGCTTGGAAATGGGGATGAGCACCACCCCCTAGAGTCAAACACGACCGGACAAAAATTGTCAAGGGGAACCTTTACCTTTATTCCAAGACTACATTTCCCAAACCTAGTACCATCCAGCTGTACGGAATATACTACAGCTTCCATTGTTCTCAGCTAAAGAACCACTTATGGAGCCTTCTCTGCAACCAAATTCCAAACAAACAACCAAAAAACAACCTTGATCTTGTTTCCTTGCTATAATACAGAAGTACAGGCAATCTCTAATGAAGCAGTTGTATATCTGAATCATGCACATGCTCCTGCGCACAGGTTTTCCTGCTTCGTGCTCTTGTTCACCAGACTCAATCCTCCTCTGTACCTCTGTGCAACACAGAGACATCTAGTGGCTGCCTCTGGGGTGGAAAGAAACCCTTCTGTTTCCATTTTGCTGTTGGAGGAGGAGGAGGAAGAGGCAACGCTAAAGTTCCATGTTGTCTGGATTCTTTGTCCCAGGGCTAAAAGACGGAGGACAGGACAGTGAGAGCAGGTCTGCAGAAATCAAGGCTGTCCCTCCCTTGTTCTCTTGGCCATGGCTGACAATGTTTGTAACTCTCAAAAATATCCATAGATGTTGCTGTTTAAATTGGGGTGAGCAATGGGTAGCATTCCAGTTCCTAAAATATACTCTAATATATCATTTTCAGAACTACCCACAAGATCTTGGTGCACAGTCAGAGGGTGATGAATTATCATCGAAGGCTAGCTATCTGTTGTTTACTTGATTTTTATGTGTGGTCTAATATAAGTATCACCTGTTCTTGCATTTCTCTTGTTTTGGGGGACTATACCAGCTTTTTCCAATTATTCCAGAGGTGGTTGACTATCAGGCTTTGTTCAGGGATGATGGCAGCTATAGCCTAACAGCATCTGGAGGGCCACCACTTCCCCATCTCTGTGGTACACAGAGACACACATGTGCACATCTCCAAATGTAAAGAGTGTTGCTTGGTAAATGTGGTGTTTGGAACAATATATCATAGATGAGTACTATACCATTAACCTTTAATCCAGTAATCCCCAAGTTTGAGTCCCCATATGTTGTTGAACTTCACCTCCTATTGGCCAATTGTGAATGAGCTGTCTTCTCTGGAGTCACAGTGAGGTCTAATTATGTAACGGAGGGTTCGCAACTCTACCGTCAGACACGCGGATTAGAATTACTTTCTGTGGCATAAGGCCTGAGCAGCTTAGGGCCGGACTGCTGCTACGTCAGGGCTAACGGAGGGACAAGGTACTGGGAATACCTCATATTTTGATATTTAAAGCCAAATATGCCATTATTGTACTATTAAACCAGTCCAGGAGACTTTGCTGGGAACAGGTAACATTATTCTGCAACTGGGCTCCTCTGTTGGTTGTGTACCAAAAATCGGGGTGGGGACGGAAATTGGAAAATTCCACTTGGCTTTGAAATGTGAACATTTCTAGAATATAGCACTCTTTGTGTATATCTGGAACTTGTTTGAAAAGTGAATTATTGTTACTGAAGGCTGAGAGGAATAGCAACTTACCTTTTTTTTCAATTTCAGTTTCTTCTCTTTTTTCTCTTGTGGGGAATCCCCCTCCCCTCCCATTGGGGATGGGTGAGTATGGTAGGGGCTGGAGCCTATTTTAGCTCTCCCCTGCATCAACCCATGTAGCTACGTCCACAACACAGAAACGGTACATTAGCTGTACTGTTTCCATTGCAGAGTGTCTGTATGGAAACAGACAGTGGACGCTTGCTGGTTATGGGACACAATTTTGATACTTTACAAATTGTAGGCTCTCTTTTTTGGTAATTTGGGGAAAAACAGTTGCTCTTTCCTTATCACACAAGGTCTTAGTGGTTTGCAGTAAAAGCTTTCTCCCCATGGAAAAGGGGTGGAGGGGGGGGATACCTTTGTTTTCCTATCTGGAATACATTCTTGGGTCTACTGATGAGGCTTAACAATTTGAGGTCCTTGGCCTGTTTCAGAAATTCCAACCAGATTCTGAAACTTCAGACTTCCACACTTGTAACTGAGATAGTTTTCTGCATGTGTAGCCTGGCTAGGAGCTAAACTTCTTCCAAACAAGTACAGAGTACCTTCCATTTACCAGAATTCCTCACGTGCTTGCAAAATACAATATGTCACCTGTAGGCTGGATTTCCTGGACAAAGACTGTCCCCAAAAGTGAACTCTACTGCATTTCTGATGAAATTAAAGAAGATGTGTGTATGTGTGTGAATCTTCATGGAAAAACCCATATTTGGGAGTGCATGGGGTTAGGTACAGAAACATCAGCAGGTTTGTGGTTTTCTTATAATCCATTATTACTGTCAGTATAAAACATGTTGACAGGGAATGCATCCATTTTTCAAGAGCTG